TAATGACCTCATCTTAACTACTCATATCTACAATGACATCATTTTCAGACAAGGCCACATTTGACGGTATTGGGGGTTAGGACTTCAATATATGAATTTGGAGGAGATTTAATTTGACCCATAACAGATTGGTAGCAAATCCTTTGCAAGTCAGGTGGTTTCCAATACCTTGCTTTCAACAAAATTGATGGAAAAAAGAAATAGTGTTGTCAGCTGATAGATCATTAAAACTAATATTTGACAATGGATTATCATGTGATTTGGGGCAGTGAAGTTGGAAGGAGTTCTAAAAATTAAAGGACATTTTTATTAAAATACTCTTTTCATTCCCATCTTCCTATTTATCAGAGCAAGGATTTTTCATCTCTAGAAAATGGAAAATAGAAATAGAATGAATGCTAAACACTTTGTCATTGTAGCCATAAGTAATATTTATCCACAATAATATAATGTTTGGAAAGGGGACAGCAGCATCTATCTTATTAAGAAATGTAAGCTTCCAATAATACTTTCTTTTTTATGTTAGTATTTATCAAAATAGTCTATTCATTCAGGTTGTTTCAATCAATTGTGCAATACTAGTAATGATAACTCGATCGAGAAAACACTTAAAGCCTAGGGTCACAGGAATTTGTAAGTGTATAAATTTATATTTTTATACATATGCTTGATAAATAAAAGTATGACAGGATGCTCAGTAAAAGATGTTCATCATAAATAACACATTAGCATAAATTCTGAAGGGGAAGTAGATGGAAATAAAATTTCAAAGAGAAAACAAAAAATATATAAATTTTGCTTGCTAAGGATAAGCTTGTTTGTGTATTTCTTAAATTGATGATGGTGAGTAACAAACTGTTATAGGATTTAGATGCCATTTGTACACATTTAAAATAGTTATGCAACAGTTTTATTTTAAAATGTCAATATTGCCCTAGGTAGTTTGGCTCAGTGGACAGAGCATCAGCCTGCGGACAGAAGGGCCCCAAGTTTGATTCCGGTCAAGGGCACATGCCCAGGTTGGAGGCTCGATCCCCAGTAGGGAGCATGCAAGAGGCAGCCGATCAATGATTCTCTCTCAACATTGATGTTTCTATCTCTCCCTCTCCTTTCCTCTCTGAAATCAATACAAATATATTTTTTAAAAAATAATTAAAAATAAAATGTCAATTTTACAATATGATAGCAATTACATTTTTGCAACAAAATATTTAAATTTATGATAAAAATTATGCCAACTGTTAAGTGTGCAAAGAAAAGCACAAGTTTATAAACTATTTGGGGTCCTTGAGCAGAACTGTAAAGACTGATTCAGGACATGGTGCCAAAGTTTGTATTGTTCTTCAGGTGTCTGGAGGTCTCAGGGGACATTCAGAGTGTCTTGTGCAGCTCACTGTTAACCCAAGGAAAACATCTGAGCTTCACCTGCAGAAGGAATCTTGGGATTGGGTGCACGCTGGCAATCTTGGATTGCTTTCTGAGATGCAGGGTGGCATAAAAAATGCATGGTCTCCAAACCACAATGAGATACCACTTCTCAGCCATTAGGATGGCTATTATCCAAAGAAAAGAAAAGGAATAAAGGAAAGAAAAGAAGTGTTGGCAAGGATATGGAGAAATTGGAACCCTGTGCAATGCTATTGGGAATGTAAAATGGTGCAACTACTGTGGAAAATGGTATTAAAGTTTCTTAAAAAATTAAAAATGGAACTAGCATAAGATCCAACAATTCCACTTTTGGGTATATATCCCAAATAATAAAAAATGGGGATTCAGACATTTTTACAGACATGTTCAAAGAACAGCCAAATGGTGGCTATTATGCCCATCAACAGAACAAAGAAACAAAACGTAGTATGTTCACACAATGGAGTATTATTCAATCTTAAAACACAAGGAGCCCTGGTCAAATGGCTCAGCTGGTTGGAGCATGATCCCACACACCACAAAGGTTGTAGGTCTGATTCCTGGTCAGGGCACATACCTAGGTTGCAGGTTCGATTCCAAGTTGGGGAGCATATGGAAGATGTTTCTTTTCTCTCCTCTCTCTCTCTCTCTCTCTCTCTCTCTCTCTCTCTCTCTCTCTCTCTCTCTCCCTTGCTCTCTAAAAAAATCAATAAACATATCCTCTGGTGAGGATTTTTTTTAAAGGAAATTCTGACACATGCTACAACATGGATGTACCTTGAAGACATTATGCTCAGTGAAATAAGCCAGACACAAAAAGCCAAATACAGTATGGTTCTACTTATATGAGGTCCCTAGAGTAGTGAAATTCAGAGACAGAAATTAGACAGGTCAGTGCCAGGGGCTGGAGGGAGAGAGGAATGAGGAGTTACTGTTTAACATTATTATTATGTTTAATATTAATAGTATTGTTGTATTACGTTATTGTTTAATGGGTACAGAGCTTCAGTTTTATAAGATGGAAGGTGTTCTAGAGATGATGGTGATGATGGTTATACAATATGAATGTTATTAATGCCACTGAACGGTACGCTTAGAATGGCTACAATGGTAATTTTACGGTGTGTGTTTTACATTTTTACACGCATGGCCCTTGTGCTCAGATGTGCCAGTAAGTGGCCTTGAACAGTTTTGCTTAAATCCCCTGAGTCTCAGAAAGGAGCTAAAAATGCTTAACGTGGAGGCTTGTTGTGAGTATTGAACACAAGCAGATGCATTGTGGGAGCTGGAGTGTGCACCCAGATGCCCTTTTTAGGACTGAGGTGTCATAGTCCAGCTGCTGCACTGTTGACTGCTGGTGGCCCATGGCCGGCACCTCTTCAGGCATCTGCCAACCCCAAGGGAGCTGCCTCGCCCAGCTTTGCCATCCCTCTCAGGAGACACCAACTGGTTGACCCCAGCTTACAAGGTCCAGCCCTTTGCCTCAACTGGGAAAACTCTGAAGGGCCATCCCAACACCATGGGCCACAGCAGGGTCAGTTCGGGAGACACCCTCTGCCCCCTCCAGTTGGCCCGTCTCCCGTTCTTACAGCCAGAGAGCAAGTCTCCGACATATGGTCTCAGAGTCTGCTCCCAGGTATCTCCCCTGCTCCCAGTTCCTGGGAGCTTCCCGTTGTCCTCAGAATGAAACCTGACATGCTTATTTCCCGCAAGGCCCTCCATGGCTTACTCATTTGTCCGTCTACTCTTCTGCCCCCTCCTCCTCCGTCATCCCACCCCAGCCACACTGGGCCTTGCGCACACCACCCTCATCTCACCGTGGACACCAGTCCCCCCAGGTCACATCTTCAGAGGGGCTGCCCTAAAGCATCCCCTCCATGCACTGGATCCTCCCATGCTTTTACCCTGCTTTGCTGTTCTTCACAGCATTTATCACTGACATGGTATCAGATACTTGTCTAAAAGCACTAGAATGTGGGTTCCCCAAAGGCAGGGACTGTCTGTCCCTGTGGCCTGTGGCATTCCCAGAAACTAGGGTGCCTGGCACACAAGAGGCACTCAAGAAACATTCGTGGAAAGAATTCACGGTAGTGTACACCGAGCACATCACAGTGCATGGCATGTAAGTCAGGGGCTCAACAGATGGTACCCATTATTATTTCACTAGAGGCCTAATGCATGAAATTTGTGCAAGGGTAGGCCTTCGCAGCTCCGGCTGCCAGGGCCCTTGCAGCCCCAGCTGCCTTGTGGCCCCGGCTGCCTCGCGGTCCCACCCCCTCCCCTCACCCACCTTGGCCTGGCGCTGCCCGCATCTGCTGCCACACACCCCTGGTTCCCCAGTTTCATGGAGCCCCCCCCCATCGATCACCCCACAGAAGGTGGCCTGGGCTCCCTCTTTGGGATGATTGCAGAGCCCCTCCCATCGATCGCCCCTGACCAGTGGCCTGGGCCTCCCATTGTGGGGCAATCAAGGGGCAATGGTGGGCCAGATGACCAATAGCATCGCACCCACTTTGGCTGGCCTGGCACCAGTGCGTGTCATAGTGTGGTCATCTGGAAGGTTGTCTAGATGGTCGTTCTGCTGTTCAGAGGTTTGGTCGATTTGCATATTATGCTTTTATTATTATAGATTATATTTCCTGTCTGTCCAGCTCAGACAGTGGATGTTAGACAGAGTCCTTCTTTTGTACACCCTTTATAGTGCTGGGCACAAAATCTCTCAATCAATAAATACTGTTTAATTGGATTGGACTTGTTCTAAAGCCAATGGTGAGGGAGAACTGATTGTTTTTGTCCAAGCGGGCTGGCTGGTTCTACTTCATTTGAATGGCCAAGATTCTATCACATCACGTCAGGTCTCTATTAAAATTAATTATGATCAGACTCCATCCATCACATCCCGGGACAAGAAGACAGCCTTCCTGGGAGAGTCATCCTGGCCACTCTCGGTGACGGAGGGTGACTCTGAGGTCCTGTGTGACATTTCCTCACTCTGGTCATCAAACAGTGTCAATATTACGCAATAATCTTTTAGAAATGACTACTAACGGGGAGGTGATAGATGTGATCTCTGCCCCAAATCACTTAAAATCCAAACTTGCTGAGCAGAAGAGAGAAGTGAGGCCCCGCTATTTTCCACCTCTTCCCTCCCCTGTTCTCATCGCCCTGGGCAACTTCCCCCTCTTCCCCGCTCCCCTTGAGGCCTGACAGGGACACCCCACCTGGCATCCCTCGGGGTTTGACAGCCCACACTCTGGGCTGCATAATGACGGCGCATTTTATGAATTATATGGCATGTGGCGTCACCTCCTTTGCCATATTCCGGGAGCAGCAAATACATATGTAGAATTTAAATGCCACTTCCTTACTATACAGTTATCATGTATCTGCACAGTGGACAAGCCTTCAGAATGCTACGTGGAAATGGTGACAATTCTTCGCTCTTCTTCCCTTTGCAGACAGATGCAAGAAAATCCAAGGGAAGCCGCGTCCTCACAGCTGGGGGTGCACACCCAGCGAGGGCAGGATGGCGACTGCTGTGTGCCAGGCTCCCTGCTGGGAACCCACGTTCATTAGTAATTTAATCCACACAACTTCAGGTGGGTGTTGTTATCCTCCATTACAGATGAGGAAAGAGAGAGATTGAGGCTTGTTCGTTGGGTCACCCCAATGGTAAGTAGTAAACAGAGATCTGAACTAAACATTCTCTGATTCCAGAGTGTCTTCTAAGACCGAGCACCCTGGGCTGGTTACTCGCGTGCGCCCAAGCTGGGTGATCCTTCTTTATAGCTCCCATTCTACCCTGGATCCTATTAAAAACAAAAAGAAAAAAACTACAAAACGTCCTACCAGATTGAAAATATTATAAAGCTACAAAAATCAAAACAGAGCAGTGAGCCCTGGCCAGTGGTTCTCAGTGGTCAGAGCAGAGGCCCAGGCACCAGAGGGTGGTGGCTTCGATTCCCTGTCAAGGGTCCGTACCTGGGTTGTGAGTTTGCCCCCCACCCCTGGTCAGGGTGCATTCAAGAGGCAAGCAGTCAATGTGTCTCTCTCACACTGATGTTCTCTCCCCGCCCCCCCAATCCCCGCCCTCCCTTCCAGTCTCTGAAAAGCAATGGGAAAAATATCCTTGGGTGAGGAGTAACAAAAAAACAAACAAAACAACAAAACAAAACAAAACAAAACAAAACCAGAATAGTGAGCAGTGAAACAATAGAGCTCAGAAATCGGCATAGGTATTTGATAAAGGAAGCATTTCCAATCATTTTGATAAATGGATTATTCTACAAATGGTATTGGGAAACCTGGTTGGTAAAGCCAGTAGTAGGTGCCCAGTAAGTGAGTGTAAATTCTACATTGTGCAATTCAATGAGGTGGCACATGCTGTCCAGCTCCCACAGTGACTGCTGGGAAGAGATTCAGGTGACTTTTGAGTTCTGGATTTTTAAGTCTCTGTTCTACATAGAACTCTGGTCTTGACTTCTCACAGTCTCTTACAGTACTTTCGATGTACCAAGTGTTTTCACTATCCCATGGTGCAGGGCCGGTGCTGACTCCCACTCTCTATATAAGGACACTGGCGCTCCGGGAGGTTAAGTTCACGGCTGGCATGCCTTGTGAAACTTAACCACGGGCTTCCTAATTCCTGGTGTAACTCTTTCTGTTGGACTCTATATATAGCCTCTCCCCATCCCTGCCCTCGAATTCACACCCACACAATTCAAACAATAGGAAAGAAATAACATCACTCCATTAACACAATAACTGTGTTAATTTCTCTGTATCCCCGGTCAGCCTTTGTCCATAGCAAACTTACTTTACATAATTGCAATCATAGTTTAATTACAATTTAGTGGCCCATTTTCCACTTAGCACTGTAAGTCCCCAATGCTTTTTATAGTTTTGTAGCAAATGAGTGAGGTACATCCTTACTGTCTTACCCGATCCTCTTCCTTAAATTCATCCACGTAAATCTCCATCTCTAATCCAATTGCTCTTAAATGAATTTCTTTCACAGGAGCGAGTGCATGCAATTGTGTTCCTCTTTTCAGGCAGCCGGTTACCTCCCCGCCCCCTCCAAGAAGTCGCCTGTCTTTTCCCCAATCCCTGGGTAACTTCTCAGGGGAACATATAAGAGCTTTTCTGCAGACCTTTGCCCCCGTGTAAGCAGCGGAGGGGCGTCTGGGGCCTCTCAGAGCTCAGGACCGCTGCGTTCCTGTTGAGGACGCACTTCCCACTGTTCTCACCTGTGGCTTCCCAAGTTAGCTTCCCCAGGCCAGTCAGCACGAAAACCACGCTTCACCCCCATGCTCTCCTCCCTGGCCAGGGAGAAATGGCACACTGAACACTTTCCTCACCTTTCTGTATGCAGTATGATTCATGGACAACAGACTCTGCTTAGATTATTGAATAAGGTCATTGTTTTCAATCATCCATTCCATGTTTAAAAAGAGAGACGTTTTCCAAACTTCCTGTTCCACTCTCTCTATTTCAGGAGATGAGAATGTCCTCATGGAAACATACCCGGACCTGACTGGGCTCTGTTAGGGAACAAGTATATAAAGAGAGACATGGACAAGACACATTTGTGGTCAGTGCCCGTCCTGAATGCTCCATAGGTCAAGGTCAGTCTACTTACACTAAGGAGTTATGAGGCCTTAAAAAGGTAGTATTCAGATGGGCTGTCAACAAACACCTAGTGGACGTCTGTGCACAGCTGTCAGACGTCTGAAGGCGGTACACCGTCCCTGCTCTCAACATGGTGATTCTCTACACCAAGTTGTCTGGCAGACAAACGCTGGCAACATCTGCCAAAAGAGGGTGACATAATAAGAGGGTTGTCATTTTTTTTAGTTTTATTTTTCAATTACAGTTTACAGTCAATGTTATTGTGTATAGTTTCAGGTGTACAGCTTAGTGGTTAGACAATCCTATACTTTACAAAGTGTTCCCCCCGATATTTCCAGTAGCCACCTGGCACCACACATAGTTATTACAATATTATTGCCTATATCCCCTATGCTACCAATCTGTACTTCTTAATCCCTTCACCTTTTTCACCCAATTCCCTAAGCCCTCTCTCCTCTGGCAACAACCAGTCTGTTCTCTGAGTCTGTTTCAAATTTGTTTGTTCGGTTATGTTGTTGTTTAGAATCCATATATAAGTGAAGTCGTATGGTAACTGTCTTTCTCTGACTGATTTATTTTACTCAGCATAATAGGGGGTTGTAATATTTTTGTGAAAGGTGGTAAAGTTCTTTTACTTAATTAAAAGAGAAAATAAAGCTACAGAATGGCAATAATAACTGGGAAAGATGCTATTATGATTTGGTTTTGTTTTCAGACATCTAGTTATAAAACATTTGTGCAAGGGGAAGAGCAAGGATCGGGGTTTTTCTAAGAACTTACTTTATCAACAATGCAGCTCTTTTCTTTTCACCATTAAGGAGCCTTTCTTGGGCAAAGAAGCCCTAATTCCATGTTGGGAGCAAAGAAGGAAAATTGACGACTTAGTACATCCCATATTGACTGTAACATTCCATGACTCTGCGAAGATGGTTAGCAATGGCCGAACGTGTTTGAATGCTATGCTGTGGTGAGGCGTGGGCGTGGCCAACACCAAGAGGTACAGCAGCTGCGATTCAGTACGGGAAGAGCAGCCTCGGCCCGAGAAAACACCTGAGAAAAACGCGGCCCTACAGTAACAAGCCAAACCGCCGGCACTGTCGGTAGCTGTGATTTCACTTTATTGATTGTCTCCCGTGAAACACGAGGCTCTTTATTTGAATCATTTGTATAGGTGTCGTATTGGGTTAATTGCAAAGCAACTGGATTTAATAATAATATAACGGTGTATCATGGACATCGATTCCTAGAATTGTGAGGTGTGAATTGCAGTTGATCATGAGATGCTAGGAGATGAGCAAGTCCCAGGCTAATCGTGAAAATTTAAGCTGCCCAGGGTGAGCTTTAACTTACATGTCAGTTCGGATTGTTATTGCAAACACTTTATAGGCCTGGAACATGATTGGTTATAAACGGGATGCCCTTGAACTTGAATTGTTTTAAAAAGCATAGCTTTATGCTGAGTTAACAGCATGCCATTCAAATCAGTACCAATGTAAACACAGAGGCTGAAGGCTTTCTGCTTTCTTGCAGGTTTTTGTAGTTGCTAAGATTATTTCACTCTTAGCGAGGCCTGTCTGGCTCTGTTAGCCCACTGAGTGAGGAATGCAAGTATTGTTCTCAAAATTGATAGAAATTCCCAAAAAATAAGGATGTGCACTAATGACCAAGTTTAAGTTCATTATTTCCTAACAACTGAAGAACAGCATATTATATATTTGCATAATTATTTTTATGTTTAAAATTGGTGGCTATTTTTCACTTTTCCAGTTGAAGGATAATTCTTTCCAAGAAGAGAGGGAAATAGATTTTATAAGGAAATCTCATATACATATGATAAAGAAAACTGAATAAAAAATTCAAGACAAGTATGAGTAGGAAAGTTAAGAGTCTGGGGCAGTGGTCAGCAAACTCATCAGTCAACAGAGCCAAATATCAACAGTACAACGATTGAAATTTCTTTTGAGAGCCGAATTTTTAAAACTTAAACTATATAGGTAGGTACATTGTTATCAACTTAATTAGGGTACTCCTAAGGCTTAGGAAGAGCCACACTCAAGGGGCCAAAGAGCCGCATGTGGCTCGCAAGCCGAAGTTTGCCGACCACGGGTCTGGGGGAAAGAAAAAAAAGGATGAGGCAGAGGAGGAAGAGAATGAGAAAAGGATAAGTTATAAAATGAGAAGACTGAGTAACACGGTAAAAATTGCCTGGCACAATATAGGCACTCAGTAAGTGTTCTGATCAATGACTGGTTAGCCAAGCTGAAAGACAAAGTTATAAAGAAAGTTAGTAATGCATCAAAATATATTGCTTAGACAGCTGTCTTTGATACGTCTAAGTAAAAGCAACAAATATTCTTTTTCTTAGGCCAAACCTTGTTATGTGACTTCACTCTGTTTTCACCAGTTATGTTTTGAACAGTTGATCATTTTAACTGGCACAATTGCTACAGCACATTCTCAACGTCACTGAGCTTCATGGTCAACTTGGAGAGGTCACTGGGAGAATCCCTGACTTCCACAATTCATCCAAGTGCAGAATGCAAAATCACCCACCTAAACCAAACGCTTCTCACCTCCCTCCCGCTCTGAGGAGACTGACTTTCTCACCAACTCAAAGAGAATGGGGAGAGAGGGGGAACTAAATGAAAAACAGAACCAAATGCACTCAGCAAGCGTGTTTACCTATGAAGATACGAGCTATGGTTGTTGGTTCACTCCAGGTTGATCTTTTATGAGCACACGCACAGGGAAGCGACCACGCGAGGACACAGCGAGAGGGCAGCGTCTGCGGGCCAAAGAGAGGCCTCAGAGGAAATCAGCCTGATGACACTTCGATCACAGACTTTCGGCCTCCAGACTGTAAGAAAATAAATTTCGGTTGTTTAAGCTAAAACAAAACAAAACAAAAGTGTCAAGGCTGCTCAGAACTGAAAACGATGAGGACCCCAAAATCTCCACTGTGTTTAACCACATGAAGGTCACGGGAGACCTTTGACAAAGCTGGTTGTTACCAGAATGATGAGGAAGAAACCCAGCTCACGGGTGCCACACACAGCCTCTGGTGTCCCTGCGGGCCAAACACAAGGACAAGAATGGGGCAAGGTCCCAGCGCCCCACGCATGGCATCAGCACCGCTCAACCGCACATTCCCGTCCCGCCGACAGAGCTTGCTCAGCTCACTAACGTCCCCCGTGTCTACACAGTAGCATGTCCTGCCCCCCTTTCTCCACCCTCTGTAGAGGTTAAGAAAAAAATTATAGCTCCCAACCATGATAAAACCATTATTTAACATCATTTTATGGGCACTTAGGAAAACAGGATTAACTACAGATGCCACAATTTTGTTATAAAACCAAACAAACTCAAAAAGTTTATCCACATTAAGTTAATTTAACTAAAAGAATGTACCCAAAACCACATGCAATGGAAGAAAAAAGAAAACTTTCCACTGAATTATATATATATATATATATATATATATATATATATATATATATAATTTTAAATTAGTTTTTTTAGGGGGTTGGGGAATGAAGAAAGAATCCTTGCTTATTTCTCCTAATTTCTGATTCAGATTGCTCTTACAAATATTGTGACTACATATTTCTAGGTTATTCATTTATAAAATAATCTGATTCGATTTGTCTTGTTACAAAATTCTTTGTCATATAAACCACTGTTTTGACCTATCTCTCAGGCTTGATCATTTCTTTCTCACCCACTTCTGCCACCTCATACCTCTGGTCTCTGCCCCCGACTCCCAACTCATTTTGCCTGCCAGAATCCTATTCCTAAAATCCTGTTTTAATTGTTTCTCTGCCCTTTCAAAAACTTACAATGCCTCCCCCCCCCGCCCCCTCCCGCAAGTTCCCATCACGTGAAATATTAAATTCCCTACTTAGAACACAGGACTTGCCACAGTCTGTTCCCATTCAACTCATTCAGTTGTTGTAACTACTCCCCAAAGTACAACTTCCATTTCCCTCAGGCTAGCATCAGAACCAGCACCCACACTTCTGTTTGCCTTCCCCTATGCTTTGATACCCACTCAGAAATGGCCTCCACAAGTCCCTTCATATGACTGCATATCACCCATCTTTCAAGGCCCAGGAGGAAAAATCTGCACATAGAAGTTGCTTATCCTATATAATAAAAGGCTAATATGCAAACTGACCGAATGGTGGAACAACCATCACTATGATGCGCACTGACCACTAGGGGGCAGATGCTCAATGCAGGAGCTGCCCTCTGGTGGTCAGTGTGCTCCCACAGGGGGAGTGCCACGCAGCCAGAAGCCAGGCTCACGGCAGTCAGACATCCTCTGAGGGCTCCTGGACTGCGAGAGGGCGCAGGCCAGGCTAAGGGACCCCTCCCCCCCACAGTGCACGATTTTTGTGCACTGGGCTTCTAGTCTTCTATAAGAAATTTGCCCGTAAAAAAAAAACAATAATAATTTAATGGAGAGTTTCCCAGGCTCTTTAAATGAATTACCATCTCAGGATAGCCCTTTGAGGTGGGCGACATTTTGCAGATAATGAAACTAAGGATTAAGTTCATCTATGGACAGCACCTAGCACAGTGCCTACCCATAACAAGGATGAGGTCAATGTTGACTGTCATTGTACTTACTAGAAGGATTCAGTGGTTCTCCCAGGTCACACAAAAGTATGTAAAAGAGTTAGAATTCGAACTCTGGCTTTTCATTTGCCAGGAACAGTGATGCTCTGTTTGCACTGCTGCTACCTTGCCCAGCTTCCTCAACGACTGCGGTCAACATTGATTTCCTGTCTGAATTCCTTAGCCGTTGGCGTGTCTGTGCCACTCTGTTTTGCACTTGATGGCTACTTTACTTGGACTTCTACTTTTTCTTCAGTATATGTCTCATCGCAGCTTGGCCAAGAGTAAAGACTAGTGCTGTGCTGATGCGTGTTTAGCAACCAGCTCTCAAGGTGGAGTGGGGCTGATTCATAATGTTTGTTGATTTCAGTGGTATATTGCCGGGAGCCGGTCCATGCTTGCTGTTTCAAGGGACCTGGCATATATGGCATACTGTTCTTAATATGTTTGCTCACCTTCTTGGCACTATGTGTTTTAACCAAGGTCTCTGAGAAAGGTTGTTTCCCCAGGTAGGGTATTTCCCCTGAAGTTAGGGAGGGAATAAAACCTCTTAACTAGTGCCAGGTGGGTAATTAATCACTTTAACTACGAACAATCATGCTTAAGCTACATAATCTTTACTCCCTGGAATGGAGAAAGAAACGCCCTAACCTTTGTAATAGAGATTGATAGGATTGAATCAACTGGTATAAATACAGATGTAATAAGACAGTAAGACACAGAACTTAGAATACGGAACCAAGAGAGACAGAACCTAGGCACAGAACCTATACAGAACGTTCTCTAGAGACAGAAGAACTTCGCTGGAGAGAACATGGCAAAAGATCCTGGACAGAAACTGGCCTCAGAACCTAGAGACAGAACCTAGCGAGAGAACATGACAAAAGATCTTGGACTGAACCTGACTACAGAAACTGGCAACAGAACCTGACTAGAACCTAGTGACTGAACCTGGCTGGAGAACCTGGACAGAACCTGGCTGGAGAACCTAGCGAGGGAACTTGGCTACAGAACCTGGCTGGAGAACCTGGAGAACCTGGCTGGAGAACCTAGCAAGACAACATGGACACAGACCCTGGCAGGAGATCCTAAGCAGAACCTCTCTGGAGATCCAGACCAGAACTTGGCTGGAGATCCTGGCTAGAGATCCTGGCTAGGCTGCTGATCAACTGAACGCTGTCTCCATGTCATCTCTTCTTCGCCGACTCCGTCCACACCTTTGGGGACCCCTGGACCTGCTGGGGTTGGACCCCGGCAGTATATACTCCTACCAGGGTCAATTTCAAGATACCAAAGCAAAGTCAACTAACTCACAGAATGGTTACAATTTTAATGATCAGCTCTTTAGAGCTGGTGCAGGCTGCCTGCGACACGACCCTGGTACTAAGGATTAGACGTCATACTGTATTTTCTTGTCGAGTATGTAGTGCCAAGGACAGTGCTAAGCAAATAGGATGCATGACCATGTATCTGGAGCTTCTGGTTCAAGGTTGCAAATATGTATAAACATTTACTTGGCCTACTTCCCCAAACCCCATTGAAATCATGGTACACAAAAACTAACGCTTCCATATAGTGCTTAAAGAAGGATGCCAACACTGATTAGAAACTTTGACAAATTTATGAAAGAGAAGAAAGCAGGTGGACTCCTATTGATGGATAAGCCAAAGGAAATCACAAACCGAAACACTGGTGAGGGCTGCCATGGAGATGGGAGTCACTCTTCCCAGGGAGACTTGAAGCTCAGCAGGTATGGAGAACTTAAGGGGACAGTGGAGCTAATAATCAGGGTAATTCCTTAAAGGCTAAGGAATAGCTGAGCCAGTCTGTCCCCGCCCTCTTCTACATATTTTGAACATCGTGTGCCCAGCTACAGGTCTCACAATTGCTTTCTAAATCAAGTGCAATACAGTGGGGCCTTGACTTACGAGTGTCCCGACTAACGAGTTTTTCGAGATACGAGCCGTCTCTCGGCCGATTTTTTGCTTTGGGTTGCGAGCTAAAATTCGGGTTACGAGCCAGCTTCAGATACCCCACCGCTAGCTGGTGCAGCGAACGTTAGAGTGAACGCCACAACATCAGCCCAGCATCACGTGTCTCATTCGTTCACTTTAAGATTTGACATATGAGTAATTTGAGTTACGAGCTCCATCACGGAACGAATGAAACTCGTAAGTCAAGGCTCCACCGTATTTCTCTGGGGAGGACCCCCCGCCGTGGATATGTGGGGCTGGAGAAAGAAAACAGAGCCTGTGCAAAGTCTGAACTTCCAGATGCACGCAGAAGGGGAAACGGGGCAGTTTCAGTAGCCCCACCAACGTCTACTCTGTTCACAACTGTAGGTTCTCAGTATCTGTTCAGTGAATGAACAAACGAACCATATAGCTTTGGGGCAAATGAATGACTCTTTAGGCAACGCGACAGCCTAAGCAAGTGCACAGAAATTCTGGATTATTTAAAACCATTCAAATTTGTTTTAGCAGCCAAGTTGGAGAGAAGGGGGAGGGCAATCTCCAAGTGGCACAGATAAAGAGAAACATCAAAGGCAAGGTGTTAAGAACAAGCTGCATGGCTCATCTCCCTTGCAGCCGGGGTAACCCTGCCTGTGCTGCAGTTTTAGCCAACAAGACTTAAGCGGAAGTGGGCTAGGGATTTCTGGGTACGTTTGGCTTTTCTGTTCGGGGGGCCATCTCTCCTCCTTGTTGCTTGCTTCCCTCTCTCTCTCCTACCTGGACAGTGGCTGTGAGGCTGGAAACAGACTAGCCAAATTGCCACATGAAACAGACAGAAGGATGAAAGCCACTGCTGAGTGATGGAGGGGCAGGGAGATCCATGAGGAAAAGGACACAGATGACAGTATTTCCTCCCTGCTCTGCCTGCATCCAACATGTTCGTTATGTTAGAAAACAAACCACTACAGTCAAGGTTTGGTTGCATCCCTAGGTAATACGTGACGTGTCCGGGAACTTGGACGGAAGAAAAACACTTTTGAGAAATGGGAACTCCAAGCCTGAGGCACATGTGTATATGGGGTCTGAATTTATGCTGCCTGCTTGACTTAAAAATCCTAAGTTGAGATATTTAATTAAATAAAAAGTCAAGCTCAGACTCTAGTTCTAGTAGTAAAAACAAACACTCACTCCTTGGGAACACTTTTACATCTCTTAGGAAGGGAAAAAATTAAAGATACGTTCACAGTAAAAAATTACAACGTCCATGAAGGAATAAACTATGGTGAGGTGAGTCAACAGATATAGCAGAAGGAAGAATCAGCATTCAGAGAACTGCATAAAAAGAGGCCACGACTAAAGATATAAGCACAATCATAGACATCATAATAAGAAACACATAAAAACAAAACAATAAGCAAATTTGAAGAAGAATCAAACTGAGTCTCTATAAATGGAAAACATAGTCACTGAAATTAAAAATGCAATGAACAGGGTAATGAATAAATAAGACAAAAGTGAAGAAAGAACATATAAACCAGAAGATAGATCGGAAGAAATTTATCAGAATGCAGGACAGAGAAACTATGAAACTGTAATTAAGTGCTTTGGAAAATATATCAAGAAATTTCAAAATATACATCAAGTAGAAATTCCAGACAGAACAAGGAATAGAAAATTGAGGAAGAGAAGATATTTAAGAACGTAACACCTGAGTTTTCCATAACTACAGTAAAATCCAAGTCTTCAGATTTTGGAAGCATGCAAATGCCCTCGCAGTAGTAAAGGACAGTGGGATATAATTACATCTCTTCCAACTCAAGCTGGCCATGGGAACAATATCAGTAGGAAAATTTGCTCATGTTTTTTATTGTTAAGTTCATGGCAACTAAAAATATAATCCCGGCTCTTTTGTCTTTTCTCAAGTTATGACTAAGATTTCCACCTAGATACCAAGACCACCAGACATGACATCCTGGGCCAGTCCCGAAGACCTTTCATTGACTCTAGACCAGGGGTGGGCAAACTTTTTGACTCGAGGGCCACAATGGGTTCTTAAACTGGACCGGAGGGCCGGAACAAAAGCATGGATGGAGTGTTTGTGTGAACTAATATAAATTCAAAGTAAACATCATTACATAAAAGGGTACGGTCTTTTTTTTTTTTAGTTTTATTCATTTCAAATGGGCCGGACTACGGCCCCCACGGCTGCTCTAGACCTTTCATTGGCCCCCAAGAATCCTTTGAGGACTCCCAGTTCATATGAGATCTACCACTCCAGCCAGAGGGGAGATTTGGAAATGTCATTCCCCCCAATTTACTCTCTCTCTTTTCTTAACCCTCACCTGAGGATATGTTTTTTATTGATTTTAGGGAGAGAGAGGAAGGAAGAGTGAGAGAAGGGGAGAGAGAGAGAAAAACATCAGTGTGAGAGAAATATCGATTGGTTGACTCCGGTACACAACCCCACCAGGATCAAACCCACAACCTAGGTATGTGCCCTGACCAGGAATGGAACCAAAAACTTTTGGTGTACAGAACGATGTTCCAACCAACTGAGCCACCCGACCAGGGCCCAATTCTTTTTTTAAATGGAGATATAATTTACATATTCTAATATGCACATATTTTAAATATACAATTCTATAATTGTTGATGAACCTATACACCCATCCCAATCAAGGTACAATGTAAAGTCATTTTTAAAGGAAACATTATCTGGATGGACTCAATAGCAATAAAACGCAATAGCTTCTATTTCCAAATCTTACATTTGCAATCTTAGAAATAGCATCCAAGACTTGGAGATAATGAGAGACAGTGTAGGAAATAGTACATTTTACCCCATCTCTAAGAATAGTTCTATTTTCCATAGTAATTTAGATAAGAACCAGAAAATGCTATAAATCACTGTAAAGTGATTTATACTTTAAAGTACACATCTTAACATTGGTGTGCTGAAAAGTGATTAATCACACTTTATTTTCCTCTCAAATTTTCCCATACTGCCACAGGAATAAGCTGAAACACCTTATCTTCTGTCCTATCTGAAACATCTGAATTGACAGCCTAGGCCAACTTCCATCCTAGCAACGGGGCGCATGGCTACAAATAGTTCTCTTCAAGTCAAAGGAAAATAACAAATACAAGAACACCCACTCTGAAGTTCCTTTATTTTGGTTTAAACCTCCCTTAACAGGCTCTTTTCAAGTCTTTGGAGCATTATTAAATGATCCGCTATTGATTTCCCGTGCTTAGCACTGGTGAAATGGAGAGACTTGAAGACTAATGACTGGCGTCCACTCACTGTCTAAAGCACAGGTACAAAGGCAGAAGGAGCACTTGGAGCGCATTCCTACAACCATCCTCTAAACTGAAATTTCAACACCAGGAAATAGGACAGGAGGGAAATAGGCCACAGAATTCAACTCCTCTCTCTCACTTAAATGTAGCACGCTGCTATTTCTGTTACCTATCTTGGGACATTTTATAAATATTGGTATATTTTGCTATTCAGCATGAAGCTGTATGCTTACTTTCTACCTTTGAAATCCAAATTTCCAGATAACCACTTTTAGGAAAGCATTCCTCTATTTTCAGCTTCATTCTCCATGGGCCATTTATTTGCAATCCAGAGCCATTGAGTAACTAGAGGTAAGAATCTGCCCTACCAGTTTCTACCTTAAAAAGAAAAGCTTTCAAGACAAACAAACCAATTTTTTAAATGGGTAAAAGAGAAAAAACAGGTGTTTCCCTAAGCAGGGGGGCAGGGGGGGGGGGATGGTCACATAAATTCAACCTCATAAATAATCAGGAAAATGCAAATTAAAAACAAGACACCATTTCACATCCCATCAGATGAGCAAAATTTTGTAGTCTGACAATACTTTTTAACAAGAATATTTTATCATTAAACTCAATTGTGTTTAATACCTAAGCTATCTAAACGGGGGTGGGGGGAATAAAACATATGCCCCTTTCTCCTTAAAAGCATACATATTTTTAAAAGGGATATAAAGACAGGCATTGACTCTGTAAGAAATAGTCGTCACACTTTATTCTTTCAGCGTATTCCAAATTTAGGGGTAAATCTATGGCTCAGAAAACCCCTGGTGACTAAGCTGGCTTCCAGCCTTGGCATGGCCAGCCGTCCCAATCCTGGCTGACTCTGCCAGGAGGCAGAATTACACATTTGCACATGGTTAAACAGTTTCGTCACTGAAGTAGATTTAAACTAGCTTTAAAAGAAGGAAAAGAAAACATTCGGTGCATTCCACATGTTCCCCTAAGTATATTATACCGTCAAGTCATGCTGCATTGTGCATTCCTCAGAACTCCCAAACACTGCTTAAATGGTGCACATAAATCACTGCATCCCTGGTGAAATACAGCTGTCTCCTCCAGGAGAAGTAAGGGGTGACGCCTGGGGTGAGGACCTCTGCTCAGCAAGAATCCACGGCAATTTGAAGGGACCCACACTGCCTCAAAGGCGGGAAAGCTTGCGGGGGTTCTCTTCCTTTCTGCTACCCATCCACCACAATCTTTGGGTTAAAGGCTCTTGTTTCAAAAAACTGGTGAATTCTACCTTCTGACCACACGATCCATCTCAGCAGTTCCAGCGTGTGAACTGTGGGATCCCAAGGGCGGAAAGCATCCTCAGAAAGGATCAATGAAGAGAGATGGAAGAGGTTGCAGAACCCAGAGATGAATAAAGACATGCATTGGGGGGTGAGTAAGCTCCTACAAAACGACTCTTTTTTTACCAAAGAATTCACCTTGGGACGCATGAAACTCACAGATGCGACTGGATGGACAACAAAGCTGTTTACACATCACAAACCCTGGGGTAGCCAGAACCTGGGCCTGCGTTCTAGACGCTTCCTCTGGAAAGGAGCCCGCCCCGAGGGGGAGGGGCCTGGGAAGGGAAGGGGCGGGCCGCGAGGGAGGGGCGGGGCCTGGGAAGGGGCGGGCCGGGCCGGGCCCCGAGGGGAGGGGCGGGGCCTGGGAAGGGAAGGGGCGGGCAGTGAGGGGCGGGGCCTGGGAAGGGGCGGGCCGGGCCGCGAGGGGAGGGGCGGGGCCTGGGAAGGCGGGACCGCGCGCGGGCACCTCCGCGCCCCTGCCCGCCCGGGAGAGGCCGGGAGGAGTGGAACCGGTTCTGGGGCCTTCGGAGGCTTTGGCGGAGCAGGGCGGGGCGATACTCGGAACCGGCCTGTCGCAAACACCCGCCTCCGCCCCGGCCGGTCCCAGGGCCTCCACACTGTGCACTGCATTGCCACCTAGGACCTCTGAGGAACTAGGTAATTTCCCAGCCCGCCGCCAGCAACGGGCCGGACACGCTCACACACTCACTCACACACTCACACTCCCACACTCACAGGGACACCTCAGTAGGAGTCGCTAATAGCTGCCCTTCTTCCCGAGGAGGGAACCCGGCAGGGCGAGGAGAGCGGCCCCTGGGAGCGCCTGGGAGCTTCCCCTTCCAGGGCGAGCGCGGGAAGCCCGCCCTCCGCGCGGCCAGGCCGGCAGCCGCTCCTTCCTGTGGGGCCTGGCTTTCTCCGGAACGGAAAGGGCCGCGTGCCACGTGGACTCTCGCCAACTTGCTTTCTGTGGAGTCACAGTGATCCTTGGTTTCAGAATTAAGTTCACCACCTGTTCGGCCGCGCTCCTGCTAGGCGCTTCCGCGGAAGGGCGCCCGCTGCCCCGGCGCAGCGGCTGGGTTGCCGTTGCTGTCCGCCCGCGACGAGGGGACAGGGCTCGGCAGGCCGTGCCGCTCGGAGGGGCGTGCAGACCAGCGGCTGCGCGGCCAGGTCCACCCCGAGCCCTGCTCTGAGCATAAGACGGCCGGCCCCCTCCCTCCGCATCGGGGCGCCCCACCCGAGGATTCAGCCCCCCTCCGGTTGAAAACGCTTATGGGGCAGTGGTTCTCAACCTTCTGGCCCTTTAAATACAGTTCCTCATGTTGTGGCCCAACCATAAAATTATTTTCGTGGCTACTTCATAACTGTCATGTTGCCACTGTTATGAATCATCATGTAAATATCTGATATGCAGGATGGTCTTAGGCGACCCTGTGAAAGGGTCCTTGGACCGCCAAAGGGGGCGCGACCCACAGGTTGAGAACCGCTGCTGGGGACAGGCACGTGATGCTGTTGCTGACTTGAAGTTAGGCCGCGTCTGCGCTGAACGTGCCGGGCTTTTTACTCATTGTCATTATTCCCCGTCAGCACAGTCGACCAACTGGTCAACAGTGTTCACACGGTGCCCGGGGTTCTTAGGGGCCGTCTAGGCATCACTTAGAGTCCAGGTTACTGCAACTGCTAGGCTTTCTATATACAAGGGACTTGAGCAGCCTTGGATTTCGCCATCCGAGCGGCCTGCGGCCAATCCCCCCGGGGATGCCGAGGGTCCCCTGCATGTTTCCTCACAAGCTGTTTGCATTTCCGCCTCCCTCTTCTCTCTGCCCCCGTCTCCACCAAATTACTTTATTTTAGACCATCGGTTCTCAGCCTTTCACAGGGGTCGCCTAAGACCATCGGAAAACACATATATAATTACACATTGTTTTTGTGATTAATCACTATGCTTTATGTTCAACTTGTAACAATGAAAATACATCCTGCCTATCAGATATTTACATTCGGAAGGTTGAGAACCACTGCTAGATTCTAGAGTCTGGGAAGCTGAAGAGGAGAGGATGCCAGCGCTGTGAGTAGGGGCCATCCTACCGCCGAGAAGAGGAGGAGGGCGAGGCCCGGCTGCTGCTCCTCCCGCCAAGTTAACACGGTAGGAGAACCTGCTAGGTCGGGTCTGGACACGCTTTCTGTTCGGCAGCTCACAGACTTTTTTTTTTTTTTTTGTCACTTTAACTTCAGTGATCTTGGGTGCCCCTGAAGGTAAATAACACACCTGAGTCATAAAGCTGCAGATGCGTTGAGTTCAAAGTTTTGTTTTCTACTTTTAAAGCCCTCCATACATTACGGCCAAGGTAGCCTGGAATCCAGCCTCCTGCCCCGGCCTTCCTCTGGGATTATGAAGGTTGGCTGAGCAATCTGCGCTGGAGAAACCAGGTGTAACAAGACCGGGCGGAGGGCTTCCGGGGTTGTTTGTGGCACTTTCTCCAGCTCTGTGCCAGTGTCTCTGGGGCAGTCCCGCAAGGTTGCTGCTTCTAGAGCTCCCGGTGAGAACCTGCCTTTGTTATGCAAGCCGCAGAGCAGGCAGTGTCCCAGCCTCCTGTTCCTCGGCAGCACAGGAAGGAGGAGAGGGGTCAATGGGAATTCTGGGCTTAGGAAACCTCTTCACTCTCTGCACCCGCTTCGCTCCACCCCATCACCTTTAGAAGCCCAGCTAGCTCATAATCAAAGACAGGCAAGGCTTCAGAGCGTGCCTCCAACTTCAGCAGGGTCATTAGGATTAAAGTGATATAGAGTCAAAATTAACTTTCTGCACAAATCTAAGTTGATGCAAAGAAAGCAATTAATCCTTCCCCCCCCCCCCTCTGTTTTCCTTATCGTTACGTGGACTCATATTTTGTCCCAGCTCTCTAATTTTTTTTCTTTCATTTTCCCAACAACATAGTTGTTTTTTTCGACAACTCTTAAAAATTTCAGTGTCAGGGAGGGTCAGCAATTCCTGGTTTTTCTTTGAGCCTGTCTACTGAAAATCTGCTGCTGTAGCAACTACCAGGCTTTTGAATCGGCTGCAAAGATGCCATTTGGTGTAGTTTTCCAGGTTGTGCTGTTTCCCCAGGGAGAACTCGGAGATCCTGGGACATGTAGGTATGTTGAGACAAGAAGGGGACTTAGAGCCACAGAAGGAAGGTAGCTTACCGTGGCTTCGCTTCAAAACCCTGGGATGGCCCCACAACCACACCAAAATCCTGTTCTGGAAGATCTGCCCACTCAAATCAGGTTCCCCAGACAGAGCAACAACAGAAGTGGGTGGGAGTGAGAACTGTGGCAGGCTCAGCCCCCTCTGGAATGAGCCTGATGAGTGTATTAATGCTGGCCTTTTCCTTAGAGTGGAACTTGGGGGGGGGGGGGGGGACAAAACAGAGGCTGGATCCTGCAGGAAGAAAAAAAGAGAAAGTGAACCACTCATAAAGATAAAGGGAATCTTTCTCACCCGCTTTGAGTGGTGAGCTAAACCTACTGGAAGTCAGGCCCAAGAGATACACAAGCCCAAATGGATGAGGCTATCGTGCTGTCAGCTCCATGGGGCTTGGAAAGAGCCGAGAAATGACTCCATTCCGTCTGACTCTCCTGGACATTCTGCAGTGATCATGGTGACATCAGCTGCCTCTCCACCTGCTGTGATTTCCTAGTGCGTGTTCTGCATAGGAAAGGACCCCTGTACACTTTTCTTCCAATATAGTGGTCATTTTCATAACACTTTATCTCAGTGGTCCCCAAAGCATGTTATGGAGCAATCTAAAACAATTATGGGGGAAATGCAGACATTTAGGGAACAGAAATGAGAAAATCCTTTGGCTGAAATAACCTATCCTTTATTTCACAAAGTCACTCAGTATCATAGAACCTGTCTGGGTGGTAAATAGATTCAAAGTCCTGGGGGAAATGACCCAAAGATTATATTGTGTTTTTACTATCTTGTTATGCTCTCTGAGTGAATTTAGAAAGTCAATGATATTCAAAGCAGGGTAGTCTTTTACTTACAACCTTACAAATCAACATTGACGTGTCCTTAAAAAAAATAAAATTAAAAACCAACTCTTAATTCCTTACATTATGAAACAAAAAGGAATTTGTTCTAACCAGCAGACCAAAGGGCCATTCATCGAGTAAGAGAGAGATGAATTGGACTGAAGGGGAAGTATGGGGGATTAATCTAAGTTACTGATTGTTTCTTTTCTCAAAAATCTTCCTGGCAAAGATTAAATTGTACCAAATATCAATCAATTTTATGATAATAAGACTATCAAACCTGTTTCATTACGACTGTCTAAACATGATTTTCCAATTGAGCAGCCTATCCATCCAGAGTTCTGATTATGCTATAACTTAGGAGACCCCTTGAATCAAATATTAATATTTGTACAGTGATTACAGTAGTTGATGATTTGTACAGAGACTCTAAAATTAAATATAGTGTGTCATCTATAGCCTCAGAAAAGACGAAATGGAAAATTACTTTCTAACCTTTGTATTTTGCTGGAAAAACTTGTAAGATGACATATTCAAAGTGGTATTATAATAACAAAATACTTCTTTAAAGTGCTCTATTTAAGCAAAATTTTTTACATTATATAGTGCAATGCCTTTCAGACTGTATTTATCCAAGGAATCTTTTCCAAACAAATTATTAAATAGAAGCCAAATAAATAGGTAAAAAGCAAAGGTGCTAAGGAGACAGGGGAGGAATGGATTTCATTCTTTTAATCCTCACAAGGGCCAGTAAAGTAACTTTGAGGAACACTGGGGTTTTAGGAAGTGTGAAGACTTATCAAAAAGAAAATAAAAGGCACTATTTGAGATGACATTCCTTGCAACTGTATGTATATATGTGTTTGTGAAATATTCAATTAATATCTGCTTTCTGTCTTTATCATTCTCATTCTGAAGCTGTAACTTTTGTGGCATTTTATGATAGCACAAATGGATTCTGTGTCTATGAGTTTCAAATTCTAAGTTTTTGTTTGTTTGTTTGTTTTTATTCTAACAGTTCAGCAAAGGCCAGAGGGTACGTTAGGTCAAAATACATGTGACCTCAATGAATTATTCAGGTAAATATTTCTATCTTGTAGAATAACAGTAACATCTCACTAAATGATTGTCAAATTATGATTAGGACCTTAGAGAATATTTCATCCAAAAAAAAACCCAGATTTTTTTTTTTTTTTTTTTTTTTTTAGTTGAGAACACAGGTCCTAGAAGTTGAGGAACTTACCCAAGATTACAAGGGTGCATTCCAGAACACAATTCTCATGCCCCTGAGTCCCATGCTTTTTCCAGTACTTTATGTATCACATCGTATAAATTAACATGAAATTCTTACAACTTGAAAGTATCAAAATTCACTATTGACTGAAATCAGTTCAATATTTCTGAGTTTCTTTAGACCAGTGGTCGGCAAACTCATTAGTCAACAGAGCCAAATATCAACAGTACAACGATTGAAATTTCTTTTGAGAGCCAAATTTTTTCAACTTAAACTATATAGGTAGGTACATTGTTATGAACTTAATTAGGGTACTCCTAAGGCTTAGGAAGAGCCACACTCAAGGGGCCAAAGAGCCGCATGTGGCTCGCCAGCCGCAGTTTGCCGACCACGGCTTTAGACTAACCCAGTCTGATTCACATTTCAGTCATAGTCAAGACACACGGCTTGTGTTCGATCAAAGATCTTGGAAGCATCCTGAAGCAACACATGTCACTGCAAAAGGGTGTCCGGAGGTCATCCAGGGAGACACAGGACACTAAGCTCACAGAGCCTTCATGCCTTCCTTGGAAAGCAGCGGTCGCATCAGCATATCTGGAGACAACTTTGCGACTGTGAGGCTGAGATGGGAAGGCCGATGCTCGGTGTAGAAGGGTCTGATCTCCGTCCACCTCTGAGAACTCTTTCCCACCTAACTCTGTGAGCAGGAGGCAGGGAGAGGTTAGCCCGGAGCATTCAGTCTGGGGCTGGGTGCATAGGCCTGCCAGTTTGGCCTGTCTTCGCATATGTTATCAAAACAAGGGAGGGTCCTGTGATTTTTAACTGGGTTTCAGTGTATTTGTGCATATGCCACATGCACTTTCAAATTACATAATTGGACACTTTATAAGTCACATTTCTTTAAACATGTCATTCTCTGCTTCAGGCTACGTTGGAGTTGTTTGTTTAAGTTCCTTTTGAGCTTTCAAGAGAAATAATAGAGAAGGATTTGCTATGAGCCAAATTAATACACTGGTTTCCATTTTGGGGGTTTTGGCAGCTTTGTTTCTGCGGGGGAATACAAGCTCCTTAATGTTAGCCGCCACATGCCTCGCCTATATAATGATATTACATGCATTTCAGTGTTTGTAAATGCATGTGTTAGAGTGAGCAGCCACAGCCGGCTTCAGTGAGGCAGGCGGACAAAGGGTGAGTCTGCAGGTGAGGTTGCTCAGCCCAGTCCATCGGCAGTGACCTGTAACAAGTCTCCAGTTGGGAGATTCATTCTAAACAACTTACCTGTTGTTTAGTGTAGTTTGGTAAATGGGGGATAATTGTCTTTGTAAAAGCATCAGGGGTACGTGGGGCGATGCTAATGCTTGTCATCCACTTTATTACATTATCCAGGGTGGCTGTGATTTTTAAATTATATGCTCTATATAGTATTTAAGGTTTCCTCAAAACAAAGCTAAAAGGGAAAACAGAAGTGCTTATTACTCATTACATAATACTTGCTCACCCTACCAAACAAGATTGGCGTGAACAACAAATACATTTGAAAATTGTAAGGGGCATGGCAAACTGTGAAGAATTACTCACATTTGCTGATATCATACATGTTTGAGGTACATTTCAGCATTGAAAAGTTCAGGTGACTACCTTGACCCATTCCTCTGAAAATATGTGACACTGTTTTTTTCTTGAACAGCTTTATTAAAGTACTAGAGGCCCTCGCAGCCCTGGCTTCATCCGGAAGGTCATCTGGAAGGACATCCAGAAGGTCGTTGGGCTGTCCGGTCTAATTAGCATATTATGCTTTTATTATTATAGATAATTTACATACCATAAAATCCACTCATTGTAAGTATACATCTTACTGATTTTTAGTAAATGTATACAGTTGCGCAGCCATCACTAGAATGCAGTTTTAGAATATTTTCATAACCCCCTAAAGCAAGGGTTCTCAAACTTTTTAAACAGGGGGCCAGTTCACTGTCCCTCAGACCGTTGGAGAGCTGGACTATAGTTTAAAAAAAAACTATGAACAAATTCCTATGCACACTGCACATATCTTATTTTGAAGTAAAAAAACAAAACGGGAACAAATACAATATTTGTATTTGCATGTGGCCCGCGGGCCGTAGTTTGAGGACCCCTGCCCTATAGTTCCCTCACACCCATTTGCAGTTAGTTAATCCCTTTTCTTGCCCCCAGCCCCAAGGAATCATTGATGTGCTTACTGTCTCTATAAAATTGCCTTTTAGGCTATTATGAATAATGCTGTTATGAATATATATATATATATATATATATATATATAAATATCTTTGTTTGGATATATGTTTTCATTTCTCTTGAGTAGATTCCTAGGAGTGATTTGTTGCGTTTATGGTAAGTTTATGGTTAACTTTTTAGGACAATGTAAATCTGTCAGAGTGCCTATATCATTTTATATTTCCATCAGCAACGTATGGGGGTTCTAGTTTCTCCACATCCGGCCAGTACTGGCTAGTGTCTGTCTAGTGGCCGTTCTAGTGGGTGTGCAGTAATATCTCATTGCAGTTCAGTTTCCATTTCCCTAATGACAATCTAAAGGAAGAGAAGCCAGTGCCCCTTGCCCCTGATTAAATGGTTAGATATTGCATGTTTTAAAAAATTCTTGCAGCACACAGGTTGAAAATCACTGTTCTATACTGTTATTTAACTTTTAGTGTGAATATATTTTTTTCTCCAAACTTGATTTTTAAAAAATTTTATTTAGGTATAATTGACATGCAACATGAGTTTCTGATGTACAGTATAATGATTTTATAGTTGTATATATATTGCAAAACAATCACCACAATAATTCTAGTTAACATTTATCATCACGCATAGTTACAATTTTGTGGTATGTGTGATTAAAACTTTTAAGATCCACTCCCTTAGCAACTTTCAAATATGCACCAAAGTATTATTACCTATACATTCAGGCCATGACTATTTATTTTATACCTGGAAGTTTGTATTTTTTGATCCCTTCACTCATTTCACCTACTCCCATCTCCATCCCCTGCCTCTGGCAACCACTAATCTGTTATCTATATCCATAAGCTCCTTTTTTTTTTTTCCTTTTTAGATTCCACACGTAAGTGAGATCATAAAATATTTGTCTTCCTCTGTCTGACTTATTTTAGTTAACATAATGCCCTTAGAGGCCATCCATGTTGTCACAAATGGCAAGAGTTCCTTCTTTTTATAGCTGAATAATATTCCATTGTATATATATATGCCACATCTTCTTTATGCATTTATCCATAGATGGACATGTTCTCTAAACTTGAATTTTAAACTCCCTCAAGGGCAAGCCCTTTTAGCTTATTGATTTTTTTTTTTTGATTTTTTTTTACATTACCAGGCCTAGCAAAGTACTCTGGAGATAATGCATCCTCAATAAATATATGTTGCATACATGACAAAAAGCTTACTGTTTTTATGTAAATATTGTCAGCACACCTGATATCATAATTTAATAAGTCACATTGAATTTTGTACATCAGAGGTTTCAGTTTTAAAACCATTTCAAAAGGGAGTGCTTCAGAGTATAAACTTGGACAAATAAATTTAATGATCAGAGAAAAGTGACTGAGAATAAATTAATATTTTATAATATGTTTAAATAAATTCAAATTTTTAGACTTTTTTTTTCTGCAAATGTCCCTGCGTGCCTTAACAAAATAGTAAAACCATAGTTAATCACAAATGAATAATGCTGTCAAGTGTATCCATGAGTAAGGAGAAAGCAAACGAACACTTCACCCATCATTAGTACTCTGGACTCAAAAGATTTCAAATTATAAATACCAATTTATACTTATGTGGAAGCCTGAATGTAAAACAAAAACAACTTTCCCTATAACTAGTAAATAACAGGGGAAAAGAAAGAACTTTTGAGCCTTGCCTGGAAGGGTGCCAAAGATATACACTTGAGAATATTTTAAGGTAATTAGCATTTTTGTCTCTGTGTCAGTAAAAATAGGCCTTTGGCTGCTACTAATTTTCTTTGGGTTAGTGAGACCATTGTATGAATGAAGGGCTGTTAAAGGCCATTTATATTGTGCAAACAGAGGCACAAATTAGAGAGGGCATGTTAATAAGGAGAGGGGGCTTATGAGTGCTCAATTATGAGCCCAGAACCTGTTTCTATTTTAAGGGGATAGAAAACACATCAATCTTGCTTTTAGAATATTTTCAATTAAAATGAACAGCACATGGCATACTAAGAACCAGCGAAGGCTGCGGCCATGTGGGTCTTGAATAATTCTTACATACCATCTTAGAATCAACGCTGATATACGTATAATGGGCTGAAATATAATTTGAGATCCCAGAAGACCAAGGTCCCTGAGCTGCATAAGAAATTCTAAAGGAAAAGAAATATAAAACTGGACCATCTGTTTTACTTTCCGGCATGCAGCCTTCAGAGTAGACTGTTTGGAGAAGGATGCTGCTTTAAATCTGAATAGGGATGAAATATAGTACATACACTTGCAACATATCATGAACTTCCTCTCTCCTAAGCATAATCAATAGCAGTCTCAAGCCTAGTTCCGCATGTTAAAAACACAAAGCACAGTGCTAGCTGCACAGAGCATTCACTTCTCCCCACGCGGAGACAATAGTGAGCAGATTCCTCTCCAGCCCCAGGCAGCGCCTCCTGCCTAATTGGGTTGAGCAATGGGAGACATCCACTCTGCATAGGCAAGCGTTTGGGGAATCTCATTATCGTGTGCATACACAACTCTGCATAAGCCTAGTTTGCCCTCCTTTAGCCAGTACTCCCAGTTCCTAATGCCATGTTTTTTATATGTGCTTATGAAAACATTTCAAGATATCATCCTCCAAGCTACCTTTTCCCCTATGTGAAATGGCTATTACTAGTATAGAATTATAGCTAACCAAGTTGCCAGCGTTCACATAATGTTCTTAAAGTGGAAAAGCACTAAATAAAACAGTGAAGGGTAGCAGGCATGAATGTGTTTGGTCTCAAGATAAAGAAACCAATACTTTCAATGCTATTCAATAAGCCCAGTGCTGAACTTCTCAAACCAAGATTGTATTGGATTTCTGACCTTTTTTTTTTTTTCAGGTGGTGCTAGTCCTCGCTCTTGAAACCTTTGTAACTATTAAGGCTGAAGTGCCATTTAAAGAAAAAAGAAGGCAAAGAAATGAGCTGCGAGAGCCATGGTGAGTCGTTTGTCAATGTATCCTTTCTTGAGTGTGTTGGGAAGCAGGCTTCAGGGTGCTGGGATCATAGGCTTTATTTTGAATTTGTCTGTTATAACCTGAAAGCTTTCTTCAAGGGAGATACATAGGGTTCGTGTCTGTATACAAAGTCTGTTGCTATGGAAAGGTTTGTGCTTAACCATATTACAGTGTTCTGTTAGGAGCAGGGAACCTGGGGTATCAGTTCATCTCTTTCCAAAAGCCACGTTTTATCAGATAAAAGAAATAAACATGCACAGCACATATTTCTGCCATTGGAGAACAATTCTAAAGGCCTTTTTTACATTGTATGTATCAAGAAACTATTCTACATTCTAAGATCCATGGTAGCTTCTTACTATAGAAGTTAGTTACAATGTAATAGACATCAATTACTCGCAGTATATTATCTAAGCTCGTCGGCTATTTCCACCTCTAAATTCACTTCCACGTTGCATTTCTCATTCCCCCCCAAATATCTGCTGTTGGCTCCACAAGAGAGCTTTCCTTTTAGCATGTGCTCTGTTCTTGGTGAGCAATTCAACACAGTAAGATTGTACTGTGAATGTTTGCTGTTGACATGTTCTCTGAAGAGGGAGGGCGGAGGCTGCCGGAATATTAAAACCTGGGCTGTTCTAGAAAAATTCAACAATTGCTCAAACAATCTAAAATTTGTCAGTGTTCACATTTTTCCTTACATCAAAGTTGGCAAAGTATAGCTTGTCTCATTTTAAAACAGTAATATATTGTATGGTGCTAACACCTACACTTGTAGGAAAACATGTTGGTTCTGGGTGCAGACGCAGAGGCCTGGGTTGGGGGGTCTAGATATGCCATTTGCAGCCTATGCCATCTTGGGCAGGCTTCTTAACCTCCCTGTGCCTGTTCGCCCATCTGTTAACATTGGAATAAGAATCCTACCTATTTCAAAGGGTTGAACTGCGAATTAAATGAGATAGTTCTGGTAAAGCACTTAGAATAGTGCCTGGCACGAAGTAGGGATGCAGTAGGCGTTGGTTCCTTACATTGTTGGTCTTCCTATAGTTTTTAATCTCGCCTTTTTCCATGAATATGCAGCTACTTCTTTTAACTCGGAACAATCTTAAATGGTAGAATCCGGGACAATGTGGCTAGACGTTTGAAAAGTAGGTGGGGTTGGATGTCTTTCCTGTATCCCACAAATAACCCCATTAACAATGAGCTTTGCCCTGGCTGGCTGGCTTAGTTGGTTGGAGCATCATCCTGTGCACCCAAGGGTTGCAGATTCAATTTCTGGTCAGGGAATATACCTGAGTTGTGGGTTCAATCCCAGTTGGAGTGCATTAGGGAAGGCAACCAATTAATCTCTCTCGCTCTCCCCCTTCTTTCTAAAACATCAATTTTAAAAAAATGAGTTTTCCCATACCTGTGAGGACAGCTTTGCCTTTCAATATAATAACTAGGATTCTCTCTTTGTCCATTGTCCTGCTGAAAACTCCTTTTTGGTTCTAGATAATATAAATGTAAAAAGAGTTTGTCTGGATATGTATGTGTTACCTATGTCAACAGTTAGGAAGGGAGAGGGATAGAGAGTTAGAAACGTTGATCAGCTGCCTCCTGCACACCTCCTATTGGGGATGTGCCTGCAACCAAGGTACATGCCCTTGACCAGAATCGAACCTGGGACCCCTCAGTCCGCAGGCTGACTCTCTATCCCCTGAGCCAAACTGGTTAGGGCCAATCTTATATGTTATTAAATGTAGAAAGAGGTTTAAAATACCTGATCATTTATCCCAACGTATGCAAAGCTTTACCAGTATTCCAAGTATAAAAAATGTAGACATACAGAGAAAGACAAAGAGCTCATTTTGCACATATCCAAACGGATGCCCAAGGTTTCAGCCCAGACCTGGAACTCATTGTCAGTACTTGGCATTGATCCACAGCCAGGGAAACCACGATTATTAGGCCTGTTTTCTTTACTCAGAGCCTAATTTGGGACTGTCAAGTCAATTTGACTACAATTGAATGAAATTTTTGTTCTTTAAATGTTTGTTTTTCACATTTCATTTATATACTCTCTCTAGTAAGGTCAGATTCCTCTGTAACTATTATCTAATTTATTCTTGTAACTTCTCTGTGAGATAGGGAGCATTTATCTTTATTATTAGCATCTGGTGTTGGAAGATTCACATTTACTTTGTTGGGAATCACCAGGAATAAATCTCATGTAGACACTAATGGAAAATATAATAGGAGATAAATATAGGTATATCTGTAAATGAAGATATTTTCCCACCTTTGAAATCTGTTGACTAAAAGATGAAAAATGGAACAACTTATGATGATTGAATAGTAATAAAAAGCAGCATTTAATCTAAATCTCTCCTTCCCATGATTGCAGCATGCTAAATATTACTCGATACTAGAGAGTCTGCTGATGAGCTATGTAAATGTTTTCCAATAAAATTAAATAGATTAGAATTGGAAAGAGAATGTTAATATTTCTAAGACTTTTAAGGAGTCTTCTCTAAGCACGTTTCCAAAAAAATACAATTGAAGACTATGTCCCCGCATCACCAGTACCAGCATGGTGAGCGCCATTGTTTCCATGTGGATAGAATGGGCAGAGGCAGCCATCCTGTTGGAGAAGTTCCTGTCATCTGTGATCCTATATTGTTAATTCTCTTCGTGTATTTTGCCTGCTGCTTTGTTTTGGTTGTCAAAGTTTGTTACTGAGACAAGACTAAGATCATCCTACTCTGACAGTCGCAGATTGAGTTGGCATGACGCACCATGAGGTGCGTCTAATTGCTGTTAATATTGGAAGGATGGATAATCCCATTAAAAAGAAGAACAGTTATCAAAAAATAAATAGGTGGAGGCAAGACTAGATTACATGAAAGAAGGACAGCTTGATGAGGGGAAACCCATTAACCTGAAAGGAAACAGTTCTTTGCTTCCAATTTAGCGTTGTGAGCAAGACTGCATTCATACTAAATTGAAATGGAAACAATTTTTCTGATTCATTTGTAGACTTAACTATTAGGTTTTCTTATACCTGGAAAAAGAGACCCTACTGTGAATCCTAATTGTTAGTAGAATATCAAAATGCCATGTTAGGATTATGGGAAAACCTTTGTCTTGCTCCTGAGGTTTTATTAATGAGTGGAGAGCACAGTACTCTACACCAGTGCCTCTCAAACTCGATGAGCACAGGCATCACTTGGTGATCTTGATAAACTGTAGCTTCGTTTGACTTGATAGTTTTGGAGTGGGGCCAACATGCTACCCTGGAGAAGCCCCTAAGAGATGCCCATCCTGCTGGTTCTGCACAATTCTTGGAGAAGGCAGGCTCCAGACAAATATTTTACAAAGAAATCTGTATACATGCAGCATGACTTGCTTTGCCATCATTCCAGGAAATTAAATGGCATTGGGATAACAATACCCAAACCACTTGCTTTGCAAATGGGAATGAAGAGAATGAGCCAATTTAAAGTTTCATGGACTCTTTTAAGGACAACTTGAATTATGGGTAAAGGTGAAGTTGTAATGGAATAGTCTGGAAAGGCAGAAGGTCTCTTGGTTCCCATTGGAGGTTAGTTCATAGTTTCCTTCAATCCCTCCCTTCCTTTGGTCATAGTTTTTACATGGCTATTAGAAAAATGGAAATATAATACACTTTACTGCTTGAATTCATGTTGCCTTAGAAAGAGAGCATTATGCTTCTTCTCCTTCATCCTCCCCCAACCCAAGTTGTTAAGAGAACGTGGAATGCTGTGAGGACCTCACAGCAAGCACATTTCACCCATTCAGTCTGTGCCAGGACGTGCTATTTATTGGTGGTTACATTCTGGTAAGGCCATCTGACACTCCCAGCACGAAGTCTGGTGGGGCTCTTGCATGCATTCATCTTAATCAAACCTCAGATAGCTGAATAAGAAGGAGACCATTACATTGAATTACTTTGAATAATTAAGAGTGTATTTGAGCCCTGGCCAGGTTGCTCAGTTGGTTGGAGCACTGTCCTGTACACCAAAAAGGTTACAGGTTTGAGTACCAGTCAGGGCACATACCTAGGTTGTGGGTTTGATCCCTGGCTGGGGCACATACAGGCAGCACCCAATTGATGTTTCCTTTTCACATCTCTCTCTCTCTCTTCCTCCCCCCCACCCCCACCCCCACTTCCTGTCTCTCAAAAAATCAATAAAAACATATTCCTCAGGTGAGGATTAGAAACAAAAAAGAATAAAAATACATAGTGCATTTGAGTCAGGAGAACTTTAAATAGGGAAAATGGGTTTCAGAAACCTAACAACCTGTTAACTATTCTGAATTTTGGGTGATCATAAACTATCATTTATTACTTATATGGCAAGTATGTAGGGACAGCATAAACCTGAAAAGCAGATGGTAGGAAAATGAATTGGGTGGACAGTGTGTACATGTATTAGTCTGATCAGGCTGCTATAACAAAATACCATAAATTGGTTGGCTTAAACAGCAGGCATTTACTTCTCAGTTCTGGAGGCTGGGGAGTCCAGGATCAAGGTACTGACTGATTTGGTTCCTGGTTAAGAGCCCTCTCTCTAGTTTGCAGATAGCCACCTTTTCCCTCAAATGACTGAGAGAGAGCAATCTCTCTCTCTCTGCCTCTTCTTATAAAGCTACCAATCCCATCATGAGGGCCATAATGTCATGACTCATTTAACCCTAATTATCTTCTAAAGCCTTATTTTCAAATACCATCACATTGGGATAGGGCATCAATATATGAATTTTTTTTGGGGGGGGGGGGGCGGACACAATTCAGTCCATAGCAATACATTAAAGGCCAATGAAGATATTAACAACTTTGGAATTATAAGCACAAAAATGCAGACTTTTTCTTGTTTTTCAACTTATAATTATGTATGTATGTATATATATTAATATATTTTATTGATTTTTTTAAAGAGAGGAAGGGAGAGGGATAGAGAGTTAGAAACATCGATGAGAGAGAAGCATCGATCAGCTGCCTCCTGCACACCCCCAACTGGGGATGTGCCTGCAACCAAGGTATATGCCCTTGACCGGAATTGAACCTGGGACCCTTCAGTCCGCAGACCGACGCTCCATCCAGTGAGCCAAACCAGCTAGGGCAATTAGGTATATTTTTAATATTTGTTGTCTCTTAAGCCACAAGTCTAATATGTATATTACACTGATATCAAGTCAGGAAATAAGGTCCCTAATGATAGTTTCATCACATTATTGAAGGTTGTTTATTCTAAAATTAATTTATTCTCCTGTTTGTAGTATACCTTTAAAAAATAGTTGTGATAAATTTAGACATAACCCTACTCTAACAAAGACAAATTTACTTCTAGCATGTTAGGGGGAAAATCTACACCTTCTGATACACGCAAGTGAACATGGTGGACAAATATGACATGGAAAGGTTCCCTTTTGCCCGGCTGGCGTGTCTCAGTGGTTGAGCATTGATCTGAACCATAAAGCCACAGTACATGCCTGGGTTGCAGGTTCGATCCCCAGTGTTGGGCATAGAGGAGGCAGTCAATCAATTCTCTCTCATCATTGATGTTTCTATCACTCTATCCCTCTCCCTTCCTGTCTGAAATATATATAACGATTCCCTTTCTACTGTAAATTTCTAGGAGTGATGAACAAAATTAAATTAAAAACTCTCCAGATATCAGAAACAAAGCAAGAAGTCAAAGCCAAAACAATAAGTACAAGCTGATGCTACAAGGACCTCTGGGGATGAGGATGGACACTGGAAAAGGCAGAAGGACAGGAGATGAGTCCTCAGACTCACTAGGCAGAGAAACTGAAGCTAGTCCCCTGCAGAAAGCCTAGCCCCTCAGAAGGAGAGCTAGAAAAACTTCACTCATTGGCCTGTGGAAGGAGCAAGGATGTTTGCTGTTATTGAGTCCTGGAAAGGGTACAGGCCAGGGAAGGGACATCATTCTAGAGAAACTGACACCAGCGTAGGCCATCTATTGAGATGTCTGAATTTATATTATTTGCTTAGAAAGCTAACCCTAAGTCTGTTTTCTTGGAATGGACTCTCTAAGCCAGCAATTTTTAACTGGTTTGCCACAGAATTTTTACAACATTCAGTACCTGACGTTTTAGTTCGGGACACTGACCCCTTTTCCCTTAGATTGTCAAATTAAAAAATGACAACAGCCAACACAACTATAACTGTCCAGTGTGAATGAATCGAAATTATACCTTTTGTGGGTCAGATCGGCAAAAAGTATATTCTTTATGTGGCTCAGAATTTTGGCAATTAGTTTATGTGTGTCATGAGATGAAAGATTTAAAAATCGCTACTCTAAGCCAATAAATTAACATAAAAATAGGTCCAGAGCCTTAAAACCCTAGGAATCTGATAGAAGTAAATGCAAAAGCACTCTGTGAGGTCATTTTCACAGCCTAGAGGTCAGAAGCTGTAACAGTCCACTAGGACTGCTGTGACACAATACTACAGCCAGGTGGCTTAAGTAATGGAATTTGTCTCCTCACAGTTCTGGAGACTGAAAGTCCCAGATCAAGGTATTGACGGTTGTTTTCTCTTCTCTTGATTTGCAGATGGCCTTCTTGCTGCCTCTTCACATGGCCTTTTCTCTATGTGCATGCATCTTTGGTGTTTCTTCCATTTCTCATAAGGACACTAATCGTATTGGATCAGGGCCCCACCTTTATGTCCTCATTTATGTTAGTTACTTTTTTTTATGTTTTTTAAAATTGATTTCAGGAATGAAAAGAGAGAGAGAGAGAGAGAGAGAGAGAGAGAAACATCAATGATGAGAGAGAATCATTGATGAGCTGCCTTCTGCATGCCCCACACTGGGGATCGAGCCCACAATCTGGGCATGTGCCCTGATTGGGAATCGACCATTACCTCCTGGTTCATAGGTCAATGCTCGACCACTGAGCCATGCAACTGGGCTGTTAGTTATTTCTTTAAAAACCCTGTGTACAAATAAATTACATTGGGGAGTTAGAACTTCAGCATACACATTTTGGAGGAGAGGGGACACAATTCAGTCCATCACAAAGTGCTTTCTCTGAAAAACAAATGAACCCTTTGAAGCTGAATTCACAACAACCATAAGATGTTATAAACTACCATAATGGAGAGGCGTCAGAGGAAAAAAATTAAGAGAATTAGCACCAGAACAACTACAAATAACCAAACAAAATAAAAAACTCTCTATAATAAAGTGAACGAAGAGATTTTAAGGAAAGGAAAACATAATGAAACAATAAGATACCATGGAAATAAAGAATAGGCAAATTTGAAAAGAAGCAAATGAAAGGCATAGAAATGAAAATTATGCTCATTAAAATCTCACTGGATAGGTTAAATAGCATTTTAGACACATCCAAAGAGAAAATTAGCAAACAAGGAGATATATATGAGGAAATCACCTACAATAAAGTACAGAGAGAAAGAGATGGAAGAGATGAAAGATTGGTTCAGAGAGGTGGAAGATAGAATAAGGAAAAACATCTTTAGAATGTGTGACAAGGTGTTAATTTCCGTAATATCCAAATGTTTTTATACATATCAATGAAAAGGTAAACAAGTGGATTTTAAAATAATGGATAAGCAATTTGTTTGCAGGGGTGGGTGGGGGAGAATCTGATAAGCATATACAAAGTGCAAGCTCAATTATAATTGAAGAAATGAAAACTTCTAAAATGGAAAAGTGACTTTTCCTCTTTCATATGCCATGGACGGAACTATTTGTGGCTGTGGGGACTGTGCAGTCTTGGGCTCCATCAGGAGCAGTGTAAACTGAGGCAGCCCTTTTAGTGAACAGTTTGGCAGGGTGTATTAAGCTTTAACCTATAAATGTTACTTTTAAATTTCAATACATCCTTTGATCTTCCAATTCCATTTAAAAATTTAGCCTATAGTGTTTTTACATGCATGAATAAGAATAATCATTGCCACATTATTTGTAAATAGCCAACAACCAGCCGAAGGCCCATCCATTAGATCATGTTCTCCTACATGTTATGGCACATCTGTGCTTGCATGTAGATGTTTGAATGAAGGAAATAGAGCTATATGCTTCCAGAAAGAAGTCCAAGATAAATAGCTTTTTGCAAAAAAAAAATACAAACCAAGTTGGAGAACATGTATAATCCATTTATCTAAGAGAAACTAATTTTGAAAGTAGGTGAGAAGTGCTTTTGCTTTGTACATTCTTCTGGACCATTTACTTTCTTCTTTTTTTTTTTTTTTTTGGTTTTGTTGTTCTGTTTTATTTCTTTGTTTGCTTGTTTGTTGCCATGAGCACATTCTTATAAAAACATGTAGCTAACTGTGAAAGTCATTGTTATCTATATTAAATATTTTATTGGGAACCACAACGTATAGACTTTTTTCAACAACAGGAGCAAGACAAGGCACATCATCAGTCCCTTCTTCTCTCTCTTCCCTCCGCAGCCCCAGCCTCTTCAGTAGCTGGCCGAAGAGATAAGGTCCCCTGAGGTCAGAGGTGGTGCCCAGGGACATAGGCACCAGGCCTGGGGGCAAGTGGGCTTGAAAAACAAAAGTAAGTGTTATACAGCATGGTGAATATAGTTAATAATACTGTACTGCATATTTGAAAGTTGTTAAGAGATTAGATCTAAAAGGTCTCATCACAAGAGAAAATAATTTTTTTGTAACTATGTGTGGTGAGGGATGTTAACTAGAATATCATGGTGATCATTCTACAATGTATACAAATATTGAATCATTATGTTTATGCCTAAAACTAATATAATGTTTTATGTCAATTACACTTCAGTTTAAGAATTTTTTTAAGTGCTTTTGCAAAGGACCTATGCTTATATGCAGCACTTTGTCATCTCCTCTCATACCATGTCACTTAGCAGCTATTAATTCTGAGTAAGGGGAAGTGGAGGGGAATTAAAGGCACAAATGAAGTGAATATTTTGAAGCCCACGATGTAGGAGATGTCCAGTTCCACATGACGCTCCCAGTGCTAAGTAGCAGCAACAGCCAGACACAAAAGTATTTTGCTCCACATCATTAGACATCAATTATATGTTGAGAACATGTATTCATGCTACAGGAAGAGTGGCTTTTGCAGACCTCACAGTGCTTACAAGTTACTGTGAGGTGCTTACAAATACATATTTCAGTGAGATTTTTCCATGATTAGACTCAACGCATTGAAAAAACAAACAGAAGAAGAGAAACAGGTTGTTCTAAAAGCTGTTTTACTTATTCCTCTGACTTTCCTATTTGATCGTTTTCTTGCAAACTCCTTTGTAGGTTAAAGTTTCTTTTAGTAGCAGTGCCTTGGTAGAAGCTGCTTTTCAATAAGAAGGAGGGATTAAACTGCCCTCTTCCTAATTGCTTTCTGAAGCCCTCCCTTCTTCCTAATCTCACTGTAGTTTCTTAAGAAATGAGGCACTTACATATCCCAAGGGGTTAAATGGAGATTTCTGCTGCAGAGGGTAAAGTAGGGAGTTTGCTGCATTAATCATTGAATAACATCAATCACACATCCAGTTGGGCAGTTAAATTTCTGTTGAACAAAGTACAGGAGTACCTGGGGAATGTCTCCCTCTTTGTAAGTGGTGTCATTAGACATCTGTCGTGAAGGCCTTGGGAAAATAGATTTGGGCCTGCAAACAAAGTCATTTTAATGCTGACACAATGCTAGGCACATAATGAGTAATATTCTGTAAAAATTATTGAGTAAAAAAGAATTCCAAAATAAATTATTGTACCAGTTCCCTAGCCAGATTGTTAATTATCTTTTATCCAAACTTGTGTACTCACTGTAGCAAGAATTGTATTCCTTAAGCATTATTTTGATTTTTCATACTCATTTTCAGAAACTACAATAGGTTCAAACTTTTGCTCACATAAAATCTATATTGCCTGATCCATGTTGAAAGTTTTTCTAATAACTGGTTCCCTTCTCCCTAATTTCTCTTTTCTAAAAATTATTGTACATTCATATCGTCTTTACTAGCCTAGAACACATGTGAATCTGCCTCAGAATTTGCTTTTTATATCCAAATGCTACTTTTGCCCCCTACAGTGCCCCCTCCCTCGCCTGTACCATTCCAGATCAGTCCCCTGTGCTCTTCCTGCCATTTGTCAATCCAGCCAGTTTGCAGAATGTAAGCACAGAGAGTGTATTTACAGTAATAACATATAGAGTTTTATTCCTGTTTTGCACGCCAATTCAATGAAGTCTTAATTACCTTTAGTGGAATATAAGTACATTGGAGGCAAAGGCCTTTACAACTTTCTCATGCTCACCAACATGATTAACATTAACAGGATGCTTCATGACCTAGTTAGTTTCAAGGGTATGATAACATCTCAGAAAAGATCAAAGTGACTTCATTTAAAATTTAAAAAATATATATCATATTGATGGGTCATATCAATATATTGTGTTAATAATGAAAAAGTGTCAAATATTTGCAAATAAATATAAAATTATAATGAAATTCAAATAAAAGTTCCAATTCTCATAGATGTATTTTTTTATTATTTTGCTGTAATATTAAGAAAAAAGATTTTAAAATTCATTTCTCTCTCTCTCTCCTCCCTCCCTTTCACTCTCTCAAAAAATCAATGGAAAACATATCATTGGGTGAGGATGAACAAAATATAAATAAGTAAGTAAATAAAAATAAAAATGACCCATGTACATGAGGACAATTCAGTTTTTCCTAGAGATAGCATTTTGTATCGGGGGATAAAGGATGGCTTATTCTATAAAAGTTGAAATACTTGATAAACTATTTAGAAAAAGAATTTGGACCCCTATCATATAACAAAAGAAATACTAGCTAGATTAATAATTTTGAAGTAACTCAAAAGAAAAACAAAACAACATATAAAAGTATTGGTGGATATTTAGGCAAATATTTCTATAATCTATAAGAAGAGAGGACTTTCTAAAAAAAATACCAGACAGAAAATAAAGAGGAAGAAAAATCCTGATAAAGTTAAAAAAAATTCTGCCTAAAATACCATAAACTATGTTTAACATAATAAACTGAAGAAAATATTTATAATATGTAAGGCAAAGAGTTAAGTATTTAATATGTAAAGAGTCATCTTAAAGTCAATTAGGAAAAGAATGTGGGAAAATGGAGCACTTTTATACAATTCCGGTGGAAGCGTAATGCAGTGAAATTTGGCAATACATCTCAAAAGCTGTTAAAAGGATATATTCCATGACTTATGCATATCTTTAGAACATGTAGGAAAATATATGCATAAAAGAAGTGTTATAACAGCTAATCATTATGGCAAAATATTTGGCAAAATGTGTTATACCAATAGCTTAAATGAATTAGAAATTTATTTTCCTACCATGTAATAAAGTCTGAGATAAGCAATGCGTAGCTAATATTGCAACCTCATGGTCAATAGTGACCCAGGTTCCTTCTATTTTGTGTCTGCAACCTCTTCAACATGAAGGTTTTAGCTTGTGGTCTGAGGTAGTTATCCATCCTCCGGCCAGCAGGAAGATATGAAGAAGAAAGCAGGGTTCTTCTTTTTAAAGATAGTTCCTGGAAGTTAAACATAACATTTCAGTTTGTTACATGGCCACACCTGACTACAAAAGGAACTGGGAAATAAGCCTTTATTCCAAACAGCACCTGGCTAACTAAAAAGAAGGAGTTTTGTTACTAAGGAAAAGGAAAGAAGGAATATTAGGGGCAATCTGCAGTTTCTGCCACAGAACCAAAATGTTGACTCATGAATGACTCCGCAGCAAATAAATCATGGTACATTCAGATGATGAAATACTATACAATTGGTAAAATGTTGATAAGGATCTATAATCTTCTATATATATAAAAGCCTAATGGATTGCTAGGACCAAATGACCGGAACAACTGGTCGACCAGTCGCCATTACGTGCACTGACCACCAAGGGGCAGACAGCGGGAGTGCCGCTCAGCTGACTGATAGGCGCCAGACATGCGAGCCTCTCCTGCCTCCGTGGCAGCACACTACCGAGCAGTGGACAGGCACAGCAGGGCCGGGATGAGTGGGAGCAGCGCGGCACCTGGCTGCCTGCTGCTTCACACACTACTACATCCCTTGGGACATGTCGGGCTGCCAGTTTGGGCCTGAAGCCAGCAGTCCAACATCCCCCAAGGGGTCCCGGATTGCGTGAGGGCGCAGGCCAGGCTGAGGGACCCCACCAGTGCACGGATCCATGCACCAGGCCTCTAGTTATTAACATAAAAGAAGATGCACAATCGGTTATTAAATGACAAAAGCAGTTCATGGGATTATGTATAGTATGATTCTATCATCTCTTATTTATCTATCTAGTTGCCTTTTCATCTATCTATCTATCTATCTATCTACCTATCTACCTATCTTAAAGTGTTTTTTAGTTTCTAAAATGATAGAATTTCTAAGTTATCTTGTTGGTTTTTAAATTTCTAACTATATCTCATTGTTGGTTTTTAAATTTCTGACTATATTACATTGGTATTTGTTGTGATGGGTAGTGGTCACTTTCTAGTAATGATCTGTTTTCTCTAATTATTGGGGTAGGATTCTGTATATGTCCATTGAATAAGCTATTAATTGTGTTGTTCATTACCAGTATTTGTAGGCTTTCTATTTCAGTTTCTGAGAGATGTGTGTTAAAAATGCCCATCATTATTGGGGGTTATAATAATTCTATTAGTATATATATATATATATATATATATATATATAATTTGTTTTTATATATTTTCCAACCTCTATTTTTGGATACATGGCAGCTCAGGATTATTATATTTTCTTGGTAATTATTCTTTTTATCATTAAATAATGGTCATTTTAAACCTAATACTATTGCCCTAAATTCTATTTCTTCTAATTAATATTGCCTTCCTATCTTTGTTTAGTCTTTACCTAGAATATTTTTTACCGTAATTTTATTTCAGATTTGGGGGTTCATTGCCATTTATGCTTGCAAAGGGCTTACAGATAGAATTTGTATTTCTATTCAGATAATCTCTATTTTTTAACAGGCGAATTTAATGTTTACATTTATTAGGATCGCTGATAGTTGGATTTATTTCTACCATTTTATTTTGTTTTTTATTTACCATATTTATTTATTTTTTTTTCTGCTTCCTACTGGATTGATTTTGTCCTCCCCCCACACACAGCGTTTTGGAAGATGTATGTTCTCTTCCTTTGAGAGGTCATGCTTACATTCTGAACATACCACACAACTTAAGAAAGACTGAGGTAATCAGTAGCTCTAGTCCAGCCGTGGGCAAACTACGACCCGCGGGCCGGATTCGGCCCATTTGAAATGAATAAAACTAAAAAAAAAAAAGACCGTAGCCTTTTATGTAATGATGTTTACTTTGAATTTATATTAGTTCACACAAACACTCCATCCATGCTTTTGTTCCGGCCCTCGGTCCAGTTAAAGAACCCATTGTGGCCCTCGAGTCAAAAAGTTTGCCCACCCCTGCAGTCTAGTCTCTCTTCCCCTGTATTATCTAGTTTATTAGTTTCCCCTGTTTTTTTAAATCTCCCCAAATTAGCCTTTTTTATTAGGGTTGTAGATGATCCCATACCTAGCACTTCTCTTTCTCTCTGGAATTCAGAACCAATACAGGGAAAGAAGCGGGAAGAGAGTCAGGAATAAGAGATTGAAATCAAAATATAATATTAGCTTTCTTTCATGTGGAGTTGATTGGAGACAGTAATTTTAGATCTGTGGCCAGATGGGCTTGCTGATACTTTGTTCATGAATTAGGTGGACTTAGCCCCCATGCACAGTGAGGCAACAGCAGGCTTCCCTAATAAGACTGGTTGCTCACCACCTGGACATAGACAGACCAGAACATTCCTTCTCTGGGGACAGGCAGAGCTGAAGGAGAGAGAATAGCAGGGGCTGAGCCCAGCATGGAGAGCTCTTCCTCCAGGTAGAGCTCTCCTTCCATGGAGAGCTCTTCATTCGTGCCTTTAGGAGGAATGGTAAGGGTACAGAGAGAAGTTAAGAGTGTTTTTATAGTATCCCCACTTCCTCCTTTGTATGGACATATTAGTGGGAAGTAATTGTTCCTCTAACTATTATTGCTGTTTTGTTAATGTTGTTTTCTACAGTCCCTGCTTGAAGTGAATTTACCATGTACCTAAGTTTTAGCTTCAGGGCCCTAACTTACTGGACCCTCTGGAGGCTCTGAAACCAGGAGGAAGCAGCAGCCCCACGAGAGTTAGAGGAATGGAGTCCTGCCAGCCTCAAGCTCATCCTTCTTGCTCCCATGGTGGTCTTGGGGCTGTGGGAGAGGGGATGGGCATTGGGCATGGAGCCTCAGCGTCTTCCCCACAGACAAGAATCTGATTGAGACACTGTTCCACTCTCAGCCTGAGAGCCACGTGACTTGGCACACTCCGCGGCTGAGAACTGCCCTGGCAAGGTAGGGGTGGGAGGGATAGGGGTGTGGTGAAACCCAGCGACCTTGATCAGCTTGCTGTGACAGCGAGATCAAAGGGCTGGAGTTACCTGAAGACTCCCCCCATACCAATAACAAATGTGAAGCTAAAATAAACCTTTCTCAACTATGGCTGATTTTCTTTTAAAGGAACAAAGTTTGACCAACTATGTTAGAAGACTAATTTATCTTTCTACTTCTTCATGTAGGATGATATTTAAAAGTCATTTTCACATCAGGAGGTGAGCAAAGAGTATGTGGGTAAAAAATGTAGGCAATAAAATGTGATATAGAGGAGGTGAAATTATAATGAAAATACTTAGAAGAATGTATTATATTCCTGAATTTTATAAGGTTTTGTAGCATTTAGCTACAATTTAAAATTTTAACTTGTTGTGATTTCTATTCCTCAAAGGAAATGTAAACTTTTGTACCTCATTTTCTATTAATACTTTTCTTAGAAAGGGTTTCCCAAATTATGAGAACTTTATGTCCCACAAAACATAATCCACCCCATTTGTTTGTTTGTTTGTTTTACAAATTGTTTGCAAATTTCTTTGCTTACTTCTGCCCTTTGTCTCCCACATCTGTTTTCAGGGTCCATTTTTCTTCTTAATCGAGTACATCTTTCAGTTGTTCTTCCAGTGAAGGTCTGTTCCTGGTAAACTCTGAGATCAGAGGTTAGCCCTCCCTCTTGAAGGAAACTTATCTGGGTAAAAAATTCTATTTGGGATTTTTTTACCTTTTCATCAGTGAGAGTCGTTATTTCACTTCTGGAGTTTGTCTTGTTGCAGAGAAATGGACTTTTTCCTTTGAGGATGATCGGGCTGGTCTCCCCGTCTTTTCTCCCTGTCTTTTGTGCTCTGTAGTTTCACCCTCAACTACCCAGGTTTGAGTTTGTTTTTATTTAACCTTCGAGGGCCGAGGTGTACTACAAGCTGAGGACTGATGTCCTTTCTCAGCTCTGGGAAAGTGTCCTTCTTTAGCATTCTATCTTTTACATGGCTTTTAAGGAGTTCTGAGCAGATACAA